AATTTTAATGCAGCACAATTTGCTACAACTTAATATCACGTGTCATAGAACTTTTGCAGCACACACATACACACACATACACACATACACACACATACACACATACGCACAAAACATACGCACACACATACACACACAAAACACACATACACACACATACACACATACACACACATACACACACATACACACATACACACACATACACACACATACACACATACACACACATACACACACATACACACAAAAAAAATGTATTTTAAGAAAACTCACAGCAGTAAAATGTGTTATGCATTAACATAATGCGCTAAATGCGTTAGCATTTTTTTGTTGTTTTCCTTACCTTTTATAATTTTTGTATGCCACATATATGTAATTATATTGTGTGTACGTGTTGAGAAGAAAAAACATGTCATGCCTGAGGGTGACCCTCTTCTATTTAATGAACTAATAGTGATGCTACAGCCTGGAGTGCAGTGATTTATTTACTTTGACCTAAAGGAGAAGTGCAGCCAAAGCTTTGGCTGTACTTCTGTGGATCACAGGAGTGCAGTTTGTTTTTCACTCCTGTGATCCGTTTTCAGCTGACAGCAGGTTGACGTCAATGCGCCAGTCCAGGCTGGTGTCAGAGCAGACAGTGGTGACCGATGGTCACCCCTCTGCTCAGAGCGGCTTCTGACAACTCAGCGATCAGTGGCCATGTGATTGCTGAGTTCTCACCAGTAGGGGACAGATGCAGTATCGGAGCGATGCTGTGTCCACTTAGCTAAGTATAACTGGGGGGGGGGGGGGGGGGGGGAGCAACCCCTACTTCTTTTAAAGCTTTGGGTTAGTCTGTTGTTGAAGCTGAAGTACAACTCCTAGCTATTAGCTCAGTGCACAATAGTAAAACCTATTTGTTTAATCTGTAAAGTGATTTGTGTGGAAAAAGTGTGTTAGGCCTGGTTCACACCTATGCATTTTTTGGTGCTTTTTTGCAGAAATGCACTACAGTCCATTTAACATGGTTTCCTATGGGATACGTTCACTTCCTATGCTTTTTTTTTTTTTTGGAACGGGTCGGGGACTTTTTAAGATGTAAAACGGTGCATTTTTGGTTTCAATGGAGATGCTGCAGAAAAGCATGTAGTGTGTTTTTGATGCGTTTTGCATTTTTTAACCACTTGAGCACCTGAGGATTTACCCCCCTAAATGACCAGGCCTCTTTTTGCTACTCAGCGCTGCACTAATTCAACTGATAATTGCGCGGTCATACAATGCTGCACCCAAACGAAATTTACGTCCTTTTTTTCACACAAATAGAGCTTTCTTTCGGTGTAATTTGATCACCTGTGCGCTTTTTATTTTTCACGCTATAAACAAAAAAAGGCCAAAAATTTTGAAGAAAAACATTTGAACTAAGAATGATAATTCTATTTGACACTAAAGATAACGGTCTTAATTTGGACATGGGATTCCTCAACCATTATCCGACAGCTTTATGACTATCTATTAGCTAAAACTTGACCCCCTCTGTGTGAGTGTTGTATCCCCCCCTCCCCCCCTCACTTTGATGTATCTTATCTGTAGCTTTTTTTTTTTTTTTTTTTTTTCTCTCAATCCATTCTAACATTCTGCTTAAACTTTGTGATTTTTAATAGTACTGCTTAGACCTTGAAGAAGGGGACATACCCCGAAAGCTTGTCCTCAAAATTGTATGTTAGTGCAAATAAAAAAAGTATCACGGACAGTACTCAATTGTTTCTGAAGAAAAACAATATTTTTTACTTTCAGCTATAAAAAATATATAGTAAACTCAAAGTTGGTTATAAATTTAGGCCAAAATGTATTCTGCTCCATGTTTTTGGTAAAAAAAAATTCCAATAAGTGTATATTGATTGCTTTGTGTGGAAGTTATAGCGTCTACAAACTATGGTATAAATACTGCAATTTACGCCATTTTTCTGCTATACAGCGCTGCGCTAGTTTAACGGACAATTGTGCGGTCATGCAATACGGTACATAAATGAAATTTACATCCTTTTTTTTTTTCCCCACAAATTGAGCTTTCTTTCGGTGGTATTTGATCGCCTGTGCGGTTTTTATTTTTTGCGCTATAAAAAAAAAGGCTGACAATTTTGAGGGAAAAAAAAACAATATTTTGGACTTTTTGCTATAAAACATGTCCAGTAAAAAAAAATGCAAAAATAAAATTTAGTTATAAATTTCTGCCAAAATGCATTCCGCGACATGTCTTTGCTAAAAAAAAATCCCAATACGTGTAAATTAATTGGTTTACGTGAAAGTTATAGCGTTTACAAATGGCGGGAAAGATGCTGGAATTTTTTTTAATTTTTATACGAATAATGGCGCCGATCAGCGACTTTTTGGCGGCAATCAGCGACATATGGCGGCGACCAGTGACTTATGGCAGGACTGCGGGACAGCGTCGGACATTTTGACACTGGGGGGGAACTGACTTGGGGTCACTGACATCCCCAGTGACACCAATACAGTGATCAGTGAAAAAAACTGTACTAATTTCACTGGGGAGGAAAGGGTTAACATTTTTAGAATTTGCAGTGTAAGGGGAGTGTTTTATTAGGGGGCAGGGGTGTATACTGGATGGGGGGGAGGGAGAGGGGAGCTGATCGAGGGAGAGAAACACTGCAGCTTCTCACAAGCTGTCGGAGAACTGACACAGAACAGGGCTGTGTGTAAACAATGCAGCCCTGCTCTGTGTTAGCGATCACCGGCAATCGCGGGAAAACGGCCTGTAAAAACCGGCCGTGACCCATCGGCTGACACCCGCGGGACAGGTAGGGCGGGCGCGCGCGCGCCTCGCCCGTGCCCCCTACCTGTTTTGAAGGCAGCCGTTTTAAAACGTGCTTTTGCCTACGAGCGCCGCCCTGCCACCGTTTATATGCGGTGGCTGGGCGGCAAGTGGTTAAGCTGCCAAACAACAAATTGGTAAAACAAAACAAAAAGCATTAGAAATACAAAACGCGTCAAAGTGACTGCAGAAACAAGTCAAAATAAATCTTCATAGGTGTGGACCAGGCCTTAGGCTCCTTTCACACCTATGGAAGGTGACGGTGCACACGTGTTTTTTGCGAATTTTCACCAGTTGTGCTTAGGGCAGCCTATTCAATTTAGTGAGCTGCCCTGCATTCTGGTGTCCTTAATTTCCTGTTGGCAACCCTGCAGCCCAGCCGCTGAATTTGCAGTTTTGTTGGTCCACTGCATTTGTGTTTCCCTATTTGGCTAAGCAGTGATGACATTGCGTTACTTCATCTGTTATTACACAGCGGTTGTCAGCCAAGAGATATTGCAAACAATGTCCACAGGAGAATTGGTGCTGGGGAGTCCTTGGAGCCCTGCCACTGAATGGAAGAAGAGGATGGAAGGCAGGGGTAGGCAGCCTTAAAGAGGTGGAGATCTATCTAAACATGGGAAAAGCCAAAGATCACTGGCACAGTGTCACCACCTCACACCTGATTTAAACCTCTAATTGCCAGTGTACCATGTCACAATCGCATGCATTGCACAGCAATCATGGCTTTAAAGCCGAGTTCCACTCACCTGAAAAAAATTAGTCAGCAGCTACAAAAACTGTAGCTGTTGACTTTTAAAAAACAACCACTTACCTGTCCCTTGGTCCTGCGGTGTGTCCCCCGCAGCCCGTTTCACTGGCCGTCCTGTATTCCAGAAGGTCGGCATCTTCAGTGTGCGCACCCAGCTGTGATAGCTTGCTTCACAGCCGGGTACCCACTGCGCATGCGCAAGTAGCGCTGTGCTTCATGAATGGTCCTGTAGTCTTCTGGGACCTGTCATGTGTCCCAAAAGACTACAGGGAGGGAGGATGGGAGGACACATTCCATTTCCAATCGCCTAGGTGATCGGACCGGAAGTGAGAGCAGATACCTGTCAAATTCGGGTACCCGCTCCCCCCCCCCCGCCCCCCAAAGGTGCCAATCCTTAATGGGGAGCAGTCCTTAAAGCGGAACTTCCCCTTTTGGGTGGAGCTCCGCTTTAAATCAGGTGGTGAGGAGGCAACATATTACCTCCTCATCACCTGTCAAACACACTGATTTTCAGAGGAGCGCAGGATACAATTGAAGTCTCTGGCTAAGCGCAGCCAACCCGCAGGAAAGCTGCTGGTACATTGCACTGCACGCGGGGTGTGGGTAAATCTGTGTGAAAGCAACCCTATACTATTATGCCCAGTGTATTGCTTCACACTGACCTGAAGAGCTCTTCTTTCCTGCTGCTGGCACGACTCTGGAGATGACTAGCTGGTATAAGAGGTGGAGTGCTGTTGGTATCATTCCACATGGGACAGGAGCCGGCACCACAGAGGAGGCACCGTCTTTTGTGGCTCTTGGTCCCTACTAAAGCTCCAACTTTACAAGTAGTCCCTCTGCATTGCACTCTGATGCTCTGGGATGGCGTGTCAGAAATCGCAGACTGTGATCTACCAGGCACCTGGCCGTTATCTATGGGTTGCTGACTCTCGATGTAAGGTTTTGCCTGTCATTTGACTGAACATAATAGATATTTATGAGTGATTTTATTGATGGATCGATAAATAGGGCTGGTGATGGACTTTTCTGTTTCTGAAATTTTTGTTTGTTAGAGGCTGGCCTAATACTTTGATTACTTGTTACTTTTGGGTCATCACTGGTTGAGTATCATTAATCAATAGTATAAAATCTTCATGCGCATTTACTTACATAGTGTACATTGCTTTCTCTTGATATCTTGCTCTGTTAAAACTGTCAGCATTATTAAACGAGTACTTCTTTTTTGGGAATGACAGCTGTTGCTCTTCTCATAGGCAAATTGGGAAAGGCAGATTGAGGTTTAAATTTTTTTTTTTTTTTTTTTTTTTTTTTAATGGAGTGTTATGATGTATCATGCACTCACATGAGAAGTCTGCATGATGCTTTGTGCAGAATGGCCAGTGGGTCAATATCTAACGTGTCTGTCTGGTTTTCATTTTAGGACTTTGCTTGAAGATGACATCCATTCCAGAATACTACAGAGGGAAGAATGTCCTCATCACAGGAGCTACCGGCTTCATGGGAAAGGTTCTCCTTGAGAAGCTGCTTAGGTCTTGTCCAGGCATTAATGCCGTTTATGTTCTAGTCAGACCCAAAGCAGGCCAGGAGCCTCGGGAAAGAGTTGCTGAAATGATGAGCTGTAAGGTGAGTCATAAAATGAATACTGCATTGTAACCTGATCGATTGGACACAATCTGTAATAATGGTTACAAGATATGACTTTTGCCTTCTGAAATATGCAGATGTGATTTGAACGCCAATTGTTGAATAATGGACTGCGTTGTGGAAGACAGAGGATGTCCGGTCTAGACTTTTCGAGATTAGATTGAACACTTAAGCCATAAAATATTAAAGAAGTCGCAGAATCTCCTACAAAGTTCTTGACTGAATTATGACCTTGTTGATTGTCTTGCGCTGCCGAGTTATAATTCCTTTGTCACAGCAGAGAGTTGTAAAAAGGACCATAATCAAAAGCTGTTTAGATTCAACCCTGGTTTATAATGGCTGGCAGAGGGACCTGTGAGCATGCATTACTGAGCTTCACCCTCCCGTCTTCACATCTTCAAGGGATCCACTTGGAAGACTATCCTAGATCTGCTGGTCTTTCAGCCAGTGAGGTGTCAAGCCATTATCCTGCTAAGTTCTTGTGATTCTATATAATTGTTTTACATGCACAAGTTTTTGGCACCTTAGCAGTGTACTTTGAGTTGCTTGTAGTGTTGTTTGCTGGTGGTCATGGTTACCGTATTTTTCGCTCCGTAACACGCACCCCCCCATAAAATGTCTGTGCGTCCTATGGAGCGGCCAGCCCGGTATTCCCGCCACCACCATGTTAGAATATCGGGCCGGCCACTCAGCTCTTCTGTGCTCCTCGGTCTTACCTGTCCCCCTGTCCAGTGCTGTCCTCGCCATGTTTTCTCCCAGCAGCGGCATCTTTACTGTGGGCACCCGGCTGTGACAGCTTGCGGCTGCACAGCCGGGTGCCCACTGCGCATGTGCGAGAAGCACTGCGCTTTGTGATTGGTCCGGCAGTCTTCTGGGACCTGTCGCGTATCCCAGAAGACAGGGAGGAAGGAAAACTCTGAGGAAGAGGGAGCGGGAACCTGTCAAATTCGGGTACCCGCTCCCCCCCCCCCCCCTCTGCTCCCTAAAGGTCAGCAGTCTCTGGTCATCCCCTGTACTGTGTCTGCAGTCTCTGGTCATCCCCTGTACTGTGTCTGCAGTCTCTGGTCATCCCTGTACTGTGTCTGCAGTCTCTGGTCATCCCTGTACTGTGTCTGCAGTCTCTGGTCATCCCTGTACTGTCTGCAGTCTCTGGTCATCCCTGTACTGTCTGCAGTCTCTGGTCATCCCCTGTACCGCGCCCGCAGTCTCTGGTCATCCCCTGTACCGCGCCCGCAGTCTCTGGTCATCCCCTGTACCGCGCCCGCAGTCTCTGGTCATCCCCTGTACCGCGCCCGCAGTCTCTGGTCATCCCCTGTACCGCGCCCGCAGTCTCTGGTCATCCCCTGTACCGCGCCCGCAGTCTCTGGTCATCCCCTGTACCGCGCCCGCAGTCTCTGGTCATCCCCTGTACCGCGCGCCCGCAGTCTCTGGTCATCCCCTGTACCGCGCCCGCAGTCTCTGGTCATCCCCTGTACCCGCGCCCGCAGTCTCTGGTCCATCCCCTGTATCCCCCGCGCCCGCAGTCTCTGGTCATCCCCTGTACCGCGCCCGCAGTCTCTGGTCATCCCCTGTACCGCGCCCGCGTCATCCCCCGCAGTCTCTGGTCACCCCTGTACCGCGCCCGCAGTCTCTGGTCACCCCCTGTACCGCGCCCGCAGTCTCTGGTCACCCCCTGTACCGCGCCCGCAGTCTCTGGTCACCCCCTGTACCGCGCCCGCAGTCTCTGGTCACCCCCTGTACCGCGCCCGCAGTCTCTGGTCTGTACCGCCCCTCTGTACCCCCTGCACCGCGCCCGCAGTCTCTGGTCACCCCCTGTACCGCGCCCGCAGTCTCTGGTCACCCCCTGCACCGCGCCCGCAGTCTCTGGTCACCCCCTGCACCGCGCCCCCGCAGTCTCTGGTCACCCCCTGCACCGCGCGCCCGCAGTCTCTGGTCACCCCCTGTACTGCCTCTGTATCCATTGGTTCGAAATATTTTTTTTTTCTTCTTTTCCTCCTCTAAAACCTAGGTGTGTCTTATAGAGCGAAAAATACGGTATATGTTGGAATTCGCAAAGAAGTCTCGTTCATCGCACTGCAATACTGTGAAAAATTAGGTTTGCATGATTGCTGGCAAAGTGACTTGACAATGTGGTTGCTATAATTCCCAGTTCTGTCCAACTGCCACATCCATTTGAAAACAAGATAATGTAGCACATTTCTGAAAAATTCTCTATAGAGGGAACAAACTGGGAACTCATCCATGGTTGTTACTTTTTGGGCTGAGGTTGTCAGACACATTTCTGCTAGGAAAGCACCTTAAAGCAGTAGTAAAGTCTCCTTGAGAGAGTACAAAAAAAATGTGCCCCCCTACAAATTTAAATCATAATGTACTAGTATGCACCACAGACTTGTACATTATGATAGACTTGCCAACAAACAAAGCTCTCCATCTCTGGGCTGTCATGTCTCCTCCGATCACCGGTGGCTTTCATGTTAACCCGATCTTCTTTCTGGGTTTCAAATCTTTGGCCGTAAATGCGGTCTGACCTGCGCTTACGCTGCTCAGATCATATTACCGTTGAAAGGAAGGGGGGATATTTATGACAAAAGAGACTCTTCTGTTAAATAAATAATAATAAAAAAATAAACACCCTACCTGTCAGTGGATTTTGGCTTGCAGAACTTTGCTACCACTTTATGGAGTGTCAGAGATCTAAAAATCAAACCGCTTTATGGGCTCTTGCACGCAGGCTGCCTGAGCCTGTTCAGCATAACCAAAGCTGAATTTCCTCTGCTCAGGCTGCCCAGGTGCAGAAAACAGTCCGTCATTGAAAAGAATGGCTGCGCTTTGCTGCACTCGTACATACGATAAATCACCGGATGTGCATGACATCTGAATGTTTGCCGGGACAGAAGCTGAGACAGTCCCAGCAGTAAGGCATACATCAAATATAGTAAGTCATGGACTGTTTACTGGCTATAGATTTGTCTGTCAGTGGACACATTTTTATTTCATATGCTGCTTTCTGAAAAAAATGACTAAATTCTTAGTCAATCTGTGACCAAGCTATGGACTTTGAAGAACTTTCATATTGTTTGCAAGCGGTAAATGAGCTTTAAAGGCTAAACCCAGTCATAGATGCATCAAATCTCAGTCGTTTCGGCAGGGACCAACCGCGATTCAATCCACATATGGGCAGGCTGGTTGTACTGAAGTGGATCCATTGATTGACTTCAGTACAACCAGCCTGTTGGATTTTTGTTGGACTACTGTCAGCGATTATAGCCGCCAGCAGTAACCATTGTGTTCTGTCGGCAGGGAAGGCTCCCCACCAGCATAACACAATAGCACTGTGGGAGGGATTGCTCCATCAACACTGACTTGTAATGATGGCGGAAATGAGCGATTATCTTTTACTGGTACCCGTGGTTGCAGGAAAGAAATGCGCATCATCTATGTCTTGCCTAACTTCACCTTTCCTAGATTCTTTTTCACTTATAGAAGCTGTACAGCTTCTATGAATGGAGTAGCTGGTGGGAAGGGCGGGCATTGTTGGGTACTCTTGATGAGAGCCTGTTCTAGCTCCTTAGTTGTATTAACTGCCACCGTACCAAAAGATCACTGTGGTGGGGGGAGGGGGCCTGGACAGAGGGTGATTTTTAACTAAAAGAAGCTTTAGCACAAGGGATACATTTTATTGACTGTAAGATAAGTCCCCTGTGTTAATTTTTATGGTTTTTTTTTGGCTGCACTTAAGCTTTAAAGAATAAAAGATAGAAAGTCTGCTGGTTCACTCGAGATAGGGAGAGCAGAGTGAGCTGGGCTGATGATTTCAGTGCTTCTGCTGTAAACTTTGAAAGGTGAGTTACCCCACTGCTCCTACAGCTACAGAAGTCAGTATGGACTTTTTTCAAAACAAATTTACAGCTTGTTAAGAATATGTAAAAACTTCAATGTCCATAGCCTGGCCACAGGTTCACGTTAATTCATCCTTCCCAAAACCCTAAAGGCACTGAGCACTTTTTTTCAAATTTTTTTTATTATTTTAGCAGGTATTAGTGTAACTATAGTCCCTGTGTTGTTTTCTGTGCCTTACCTTGTACTGATGGGCTGACTTATTGCTGCTGAAGTTTATAGTGTCATAGTTTATTGATGTCAATGTATTGCTTCAGCTAGCCTTTGGGCTCATGTACACTGCAGCTCCTAAACTCACTTTCAGGAGCTGTTCAGCGTTTTTTTCAGCAGCCCCTGAACTCACCCCAATGTTTTCTTATGTTTCCATGTACACATCTTCGTTTACAGGCATTTGAGTTCAGGCGTTTTTTTGAACGCAGAAAACTTGCGTTCAGCAGTCGATTTTATCAGCGTTTCAAACGCAAAACACTTGTAAACGCGGCAAATCAAGTTTATAAGCGTTTGAAATTTTTTTTTTTTACTCTTCCAGTCCCCGATGCTGTTCAGAGCCTTTTTTTTCATCATGAAAAATGCATGCAAAGCATTTTCAAGGTATTCAAATGAACAAAACACTGAACACAGGATTTTCCTACCAAGCTGGTCACACATTGTAATGACCCAATTCACACCTCAGACCTCTATCACCCTTGGAAACAAAAGATATGTTAATGACCATTCACACCTCAAATTCCTCATGAAGACCCCCTACCAGGGGGCCTTAATGACTCACTCCAACAGACACCTTTCCCACCCTTGGAAACAAAAGAAATGTTAATGAGCAACTCACACCTAAGCTATTCTCAACACATACTGCTGTCTCTGCTTCTACTCTCTGTATTTCTGTGAAACAGTCTGAAATAGTTAATAATTTACCACTTTTTAGTGCATTCTGGGCATTTGGGAGGTTCTCCTGTGCTTATCTTCAAAAAACGCTTCTAAACGCAAAAGCGCATAAACGCAGTATGCAAACGCAGCTAAACAGACTTTTTTAACCTATGTTTTCCAGCAGTCAGTTTCCATCGTTCAGAAGTGTCCCATGTATA